CTCCGCAGTCAAGCGTGCTTGGGCGAGAGTAGTACTAGGATGAGTGACCACCCGGGAAATCCTCTTGTTGCATCCCTTTTATTGTTTTTTTTTCTTTTAACCTCTCATTTTTTTTTAACCAACTAGTACCATTATAATTTAAATTGTTGCTCTATTGAGGTTGTTCGATTATTATTTTTTTGTTGAAAAAACTACAAATTAATCGTATTAAGAAGGACGTGTCCCCGGAAATGCTATGTTGTAGTTTATTCTTTATTATTTTTGATTCCATATACGCTAATACGTACGGAACGCCATAACTTTTAAATCGTGAGGACCGATTCCGCCGAGAATACCTTTTCATAAAGCTCTCAAAAAGTTAATGAATGGCAATGGATCTTCTTTCCACTGGGCCTCATTTTCGAACCCAATTTTTTACGTTTAGGGTGTTACAATGAGTATTTTGGGATTTGGAAGAGATTAAAGGATCTGAAAACGTGTTCGGACATGATTTATGCGTCTTTTAGGAATAAAATAGCACTTTTAGGAATAAAAGAGCATGTTGAAGCTGGCTAAAATGGTCCACGTATCAAGTGGGACCCATTACAAATGATCTCTTGAATCCGCAGTAAAGGATATATGCGATTGCATGCAATGTACTAACAGATGCGATCATACCAGCACTAATGCATCAGATCCCAATAGAAACCCGCAGATAAGCGTGATTGGGCGAGTGTAGTACTAGGATTGGTGACCTCCCGGGAAGTCCTCGTGTTGCATTTTCTTATAACTTCTCATTTTTGGTTTAAACAACTAGAACCATTATAATTCAACTTGTTGCTCTATTGAGGTTTTTCGATTATTATTTTTTTGTTAAAAAACCTACAAAGTAATCGTATTAAGATGTATGCGAACCGGAAATACTATGTTATAGTTTATTCTTTATTATTTTTGATTCCACAGACGCTAATACGTACGGAACGCGGTAACTTTTAAACCGTGAGGACCTTTTCCGCCAATAATACCTTTTCGGAAAGCTCTCAAAAAGTTACGAAGTGGCGATCAGTCTTTGTTCCTTCGAGCCTCATTTTCGACCCTAAATTTTGACGTTTAGAGTGTTTCCATGAGGTTTTTGTGATTTGGAAGAGATTAAAGGATCGAAAAAAGTTTTCAGACATGATTTATGCGTCTTTACCATATTGACGCTAATACGTACGAAAGTCCGTAACTTTTTAACTGTGAGGACCTATTCCGCTATAATACATTTTCTGAAAGCTCTCAAAAAGTTACAATATGGCAATGGGTCTTCGTTCCATTGGGCCGACATCAAATTCTGACGTTTAGGGTGTTTCCATGAGGTTTTTGTGATTTGGAAGAGATTACAGGATCGAAAAAGTGTTCGGACATGGTATATGCGTGTTTTGGGAATAAACGAGCATGTTGATGCTGGCTAAAATGGTCCACGTATCATGTGGGACCCATTACAAATGATCTCATGAATCCGCGGTAAAGGATATATGCAATGTAATAACGGATGCGATCATACCAGCACTAATGCACTGTGATATGAAGTGTTTTTGAGTCTTTCACCCTTTCTTTTATGTCCATTTTGAGTCGTTTGTCGTGTTTTAGTCCGTCTTTCGTGTCTTTCGAGTCGTGTTTTGAGTCTTGAGCAGGAGATAAGCAGTTGGAGCAGAATTGGCGCTTTTTGGACCAGTTTCGGGCAAGGAAGTGGAACTTTAGCTGATGCAGAGCATGGACCGATCGGTCTATCACCAGACCGAACGGTCCCCACAATGGATCGATCGATCCATTTACCCGGCGCTCAGAACAAAGAGATCGATCGGTCCTCTTATTGGACCGATCGATCAATTGAAGCCAAACGACCGATCGGTCCATCTTTCAGACCAATCGGTCCCTTCCAAATTCGGTTTCCTTAACCAGAATTTATTTCTATTTTTTCTGAAATCGGATTAAAACCTAAAAAGGACCTGTTTTTCATTCTACGCTTTCTTTACAGCAGTTTTCTGAGTTTTGACTTGTAAGCAACATCAAGGATAGAGATTGATTCCTCTTTGACAATTTGGAGAAGATTTCTAAACCTTTTTCTGATTCTAATCTATTGAATCATGTTTCCTTTCATGTCTATTTGTTTTGTTTCAATTGCTATGTCTGAGTAGTCTTCTAATTGGGTTTTAGGGTTTCAAGTAGGAGAATTCAATGATTTGATAGATTAGATGTATTAGGGAATTCTGAATCTTTAGGTTCTTCAATTTACATGTTCTCAATGCTAGAATAGGATTGATCACCCTGTTTTAGAACTTAGGCTTATATTTGTTTCAGAGATGTTCGATATAATGCCTGAATGAATGTAAATTGAGCATTGTATTTCTAACCTGCGAGAGTTGATGTTAGAATGCCTTGTGAACATAATGAACTTGATTGATAATGCGAATTTGGTTAAGAAATTACAAATGAGAGTTTAGTAATTGAATAGTTAAATTTAGTGATTAATGTCTTGAGAGAAAGTTAGTCTAATCTTGTGTTCATGTTTGAGAACGGTTCTTCATGTTTGAATTCCTTATTGCTTTTATTTGTTATTCATTGATTCTCTGAAAATACCCTGATGCCCAATGCTTTAATTCATAAGTTTAAATCTCTCTTTTATTTGCGTTTTTATTTGCAAACTGAAAAAACAAACAAAAATCCTTTTCCGCTTTAGCTACGAACAAGTCTCGCAAGTCTTTAGTGTACCCTTGCTCCCTGTGATCGATCCCGCATATACTTTACTTCGGTTAAGTTATCGGGTTAAATACTCGAGTAATCAAGTTGGCGCCGCTGCTGGGGAGCAATTGCGTTACTTAAAGACTTAGGATTAGTTTTTAGTCTAGAGCATTTTTTTTTTTACAGTTACTAATTATCATTTTCTTTCTCTCTGTGGTGCTTTCAGGTGTATGACCCGTAGTGAAGGCTCATCACATCTCGCAGAATATCAAGCTGATATTGGAAAGTTTGAGAGAGCACACAGAAAGAAAAAGCAAGCACAAGCAAGAGTTGTTGAAATGGCTGAAGACGGTCAACATAATCGGTTTCAAGAACTTCCTCGGATACCTCCTGCTGGGAACGCTGCTGATGCACAAGCTGCTGTGCAGGCTGCTGCACAAGCTGAAGCTGCACGTTTAGCAGCACAGAACCAACGACCTGTACCTGTTCGGCAAACGCTGAGAGATCATGATACCCCTAATGCTGAACATTACCGGGACAGATTTCAGTATCCTCCTATCCCCAGGAATGATTTTGAGATCAAAACCGGGTTGGTATCTCTAGTGAAGCAGAATCAATTCCACGGTCTCGCCTTAGAGAATCCGGTCTACCATTTGGATAACTTTGAGGATGTATGCAGCACAATAAAGATGAATGGGGTGCCGGATGATGCTATCAAGTGTAGGCTGTTCATCTTCTCTTTGGCTGACAAGGCTCACCGTTGGTTCAGGTCGTTGAATTTTGATAATCTGCGAAGTTGGGAGGACTACAAAGCTGTTTTCTTAACACAGTACTTCACCCAATCCAGGACAGCTCTTCTGAGGAATAAGATCACTACCTTTCAGCAAGGTGGTACAGAGTCTTTCCATGATGCTTGGGAGAGGTTTAAAGACTACTACCGGGAGTGTCCTCATCACGGTTTTCCACATGCCACGCTTATGAACACGTTCTACAGAGGATGTGATAAAGTTTACAGGATGGCACTAGATACTGGTAGTGGTGGTAACTTTATGACCAAGTCTGATACAGAAGCTGAGTTGTTGATTGAGAATCTTGCAGGTAGCAACAGCAGCCAGGATACTGATTATGACAGGTCGAAGAGAGGCGGTGGAGGTGAATAAAAACAGGTTGCTGAGTTGACAGCCAAGGTTGAGCAACTTCTTAAGAGAGATCAGAGAATGGTTAACTACTGTGATGATAGTGGTGAAGCTCAAGCATACCAAGAGTTCAGTGGAGACGGTTCAGAAGATTTTCAGGCTGAGTTGAACTACGTCAATAACTTTCAGGGTAACTATCAGAATAAGGGGTTCAATCAGAACTACAGGAGTCATCCTAACCTCTCTTACAGAAGCACTAATGTGGAGAATCCACAGGATCAAGTATATCCAGCGCAGATGGGATCTTAGGGTCAGCAGTTTCAGCCTAAGACTTTTCCATCAGGGAATGGAAATTTCAGCAACAAGGTGTTTGTACCAAAACCACATGTCGTTGGACAAAGTGGTTTTCAGCAGAAACCCCAGTTCTCTAACTTCCAGGGAGGTTACCAAGCACCTGGAAACACCTCTTCAGGAGATAACGAGATGAAACAGATGATGCAACAGATTCTTGAGGGGCAGAAAAAGAATGCAGCTGATATCAATGTCAAAGTTGATAGCATGTACAATGATCTTCATGGAAAATTTGAGTCACTAGCTTCACATGTTAAGATGCTTGAGAATCAAGTAGCCCAGACTGCATCTGCTTCTACAAGGCCAATGGGAGTTCTTCCTGGTAAACCAGTAGCGAACCCGAAAGACTACAACGGTAGTAAGGAGTATGTCCAAGCCATCTCACTGAGGAGTGGTAAACAGCTCAATCCAATTCTGGAGAGGGAGAAGGCGAAAGCCATCTCTGATGACTCAAAAAACGATACTACTAGGGAGAAGTCTGTTGCTGAACCACTAGTTGAAGAGGTAGAAGCTGAGAAGGAAGTTCCAGAGAAAAGAGAGACTGAAAAAGCTGCAACACCCCCTTATGTGCCTAAGCTGCCTTTCCCAGGCCGCTTGAGGAAGATTCAGAGAGAAAAAGAGTATGCTCGTTTTGACGAGATTATGAAGGAGCTTCAAGTTAAGCTTCCATTCCTTGAGCTGGTTATAAATGTTCCTACCTATAGGAAACATTTAAAAGACATTCTGACTAACAAGAAGACTCTTGAAGAAGGAGCTATGTTGATTAGTCATGAGTGTAATGCTATTCTTTAGAATATTGTGCCTAAGAAGATGGAAGATCCTCGCAGTTTTTTGTTGCCTGGTAGGATTGGAGAACACACCTTTGATAGATGTCTTTGTGATTTGGGAGCAGGAGTGAGTTTGATGCCAATCTCGGTTTCAAAAAGATTGGGGCTCACTAATTTCACCCCAACCAAGATGTCTTTGATACTTGCTGATCGCTCTGTGCGTTTTCCTGTTGGAGTGGCTGAGGATGTGCATGTACGGGTTGGAAATTTCTATACTCCAACTGATTTTGTCATCATTGAGCTTTATGAGGAGCCAAGAGACCCACTCATTCTTGATAGACCATTCCTAAACACAGTTGGAGCCTTGATAGATGTGAGGAAGAGCAAGATTAAACTTCATATTGATGATTTTGTCCAAGAGTTTAACCTGGAGAGAGTGATGTCTAAACCCACCATCGAAGGGCAAACATTATGGGTTGATATAATGGATGAGCTAGCTGATGAGCTCCTTGAGGAGTTGAGTATGGATGATCCTCTTCAGATTGCCATGGTTAAGGAAGCGGATCAGTTTGGTTATCTTGGTGAAGCAACTACTAGGTTTGCTAAGTTGCTGGATTCTGCGCCACCAATGAGTAAAGAGGTGGAAATTTCGGAGCTTGAGATAACTAAGGAAGAGAACGTTGCAGTAGACCCAACAGCAAAACCCTGCGATGATTGGAGTGAGCTGAAAGCTCCAAAAGTGGAACTCAAACCACTTCCTGCTGGGCTAAGGTACGCGTTTCTTGGTCCTAATTCCTCTTACCCTGTGATAATTAATGCTGAGTTGAACTAGCGACAAGTGTTGCTTAAGG